CTGGGCGTCAGGACCACGGCCGCAACCTGGGACCCCCGCGGGCACCCTCTCGGGACCAAGGGTCGTGGGCTGCAGGGCCATTCCCCCACCCGGGCTTTGGTATCATCCTCCCCTGACGTCTGAGTCAGAGGGCGGGGGTGGGGGCGGGCCTGCAGGACGTGGGTGGAGGGGGCGCGGCCGTCAGGCTCCCTGGAGAGGGAGTGGTCCAGGCCCCGCGGGGGTGGGCACTGCTCTGCAGGGAGTATCGCAGGTGCCCGCCCGGTGCGGGGCAGGATGCGGGGTGGAGGTGGGCTAGCCTGGCCCCCAGGGCCCTCTATCTCCAGGTCCCCACAGTTTGACCCAGTGCGTGCGATGGACAGTAGTAGGTCCTGAAATGACCGAGACGTCTGTGGTCCAGAGAGGAGCGGGGAGCTGGACCTGAGAGCTGCCGAGGGTGGAGGGGAGAGAAGCCCCCGCCCAGCCGGGGCCGGGAGGACCTGGAGGAGGAGGGCTGGGGCCCCCCAGGGCCTCGCTTTTTGTGTGGGGTGTTGTGTGGGCTGCTGTGGACAGCAGGAGCATGTGACAGGGACACAGTGACGGGCAGACGTGGGTGGACAGGGGTGGCACAAAGGAGTCCAGTGATGGGGAGGATGACTCACAGGCCCCAGGCTGGGGTGGGGGTTAGAGCAAGGGCATTAGTAAAGGGCTTTGTTCTGCTGGGATTTGGTTTAAGATTTAGATTACTTCCAACACCCCGGTAAGGGAAGGTCCCCTGCTTTATTTGGGGCAGGTCAGGGCCTGTGCTGGTAGCCGTCTGGACAGGCCTGGCCTTTCAGAAAGACCCACCTGCCTCTTCTCCCTGCAGGGCTGCACCTCAGTGGGTGCTGGGCCATCCCATCACTGGGGACTGACTCTGCAGGAACCGACCCAGCCCGGCCTCCTGGTGGGCCCAGCGCCTAGCCCCAGTGGGAGTGGCCTGGGAGCAGGTGTGTGGGGCGGGGAGCCTTTGTGGTAGCTGCCAGGGCAGAGCCTGGTCTGTAACTTCAGGGAAGCATGGGGGATCCTGTGTCACTGAGCTCTGGGGAGGAGGGAGGAGATACTGACACCCAGCTAAGGCCCAGGGCGCAGAAAGCCAAACTGACAGAGGAGATTTGCAGCAGAGTGAGGGTTTACTGCAGGGGTCCAAGCAAGGGAGTTGGAGAGAAACCTCACGCCCACTGCAGCTTGGTCTCTGAGTTAGTGGTTTTCAAAGGGGAAGAACAGAGGAGCTGGGGTTAATCATCTTTTTTTTTCAATTGAAGTATAGTCAGTTTACAGTGTGGTGTCAATTTCTGGCGTACAGCACGATGTTTCAGTCATATGTGAACATACATCTATTCATTTTCATATTCTTTTTCACTGTAAGCTACTACAAAATATTGAATATAGTTCCCTGTGCTGTACAGTATGCCCTTGTTTATTTTATATATACCAGTCAATATCTACAAATCTCAAAATCCCAGTTTATCCTTTCTCACCGCCTTCCCCCTGGTAACCAAAAGTTTGTTTTCTGTGTCTGTGAGTCTGTTCTTGTTTTATATATAAGTTCACTTGTCTTCTTTTTTAAAGATTCCACATATAAGTGGTATCATATGGTATTTTTCTTTCTCTTCCTGGCTTACTTCACTTAGAATGACATTCTCCAGGGCCATCCATGTTGCTGCAAATGGCATTATTTTAGTATTTTTATGGCTGAGTAGTAGTCCATTGTATAAATTTACCACATCTGCTGTATCCAGTCATCTCTCAATGAACACTGAGGTTGTTTCCATGTCTTGGCTACTGTAAATAGTGCTGCTATGAACACTGGGGTACAGGCGTCTTTTTGA